GATTTTAAGAGTCATCCCAATGGGATTGCCTGTCACCAATTAATAGTAGTGGTTATTCTCAGTTGATGGGGTATTGGGGTAGGATCTTATTTTTATCCTCATTCTTTTCTGTGTTGTCTGCGTTTTTGTGACAAACACATTTCATTTTTACATAAGCACATAAAGTTATTTTTAAAAAAGAATTATTTTCAAGGTACCTTTAAGAATAGAAAGCCAAATTGGAGGCAGTTTTTATGACATAACCAGGCCAATGTGACAGAGGCATTCTGGCATTGTGGAAAGCTTTGGAGTCAGAAAATGAATTTAATCTCCAGATTTGCCAAATGTAAGTTATATGATCTGGGAAAATCATTTAAATTTTAGGGGATCTCATATATGTAAATGGGATATAATGGTCCCTTTAGGGACACATAGGTGGCTCAGTCAGTTGAGCATCCAACTCTTGATTTCAGCTCAGGTCATGATCCCAGGGTCATGAGATCGAGCCCCGTGTCTGCACTGAGCATGGAGCCTGCTTAAGATTCTCTCTCTCTCCCTCCCTCTCTCTCTCTCTCTCTCTCTTAAAAAACTAAAACTAAAAAAAAAATTATTAAAAAATAAATAGGAGCTAAGACCAAGAATAACTAGGGGGAGGCCTCTTTAGATAAGAGGATCAGGGGAAGGACCCCACATGACAAGCTGCGAGAACATTCCAGCAAGGAGAATTGGAAGGAGTTTCGTCTGTCCTAAGGACTAAGATTCTTTACATGCTTGGCCAGGCCCTCTTTGTTCTGCTCTCTCATCACACTTAAAACTCAAGTCTCTCTTAGTGATTGCTGATTTGAATGGTGCTAGATGTATGATTTATCTCTAAGTCCAGCCCACTAATTTTTATTAAGCAGGGTTAAATGACATTGAGACTGTCCTGCAAAAGCTCAGAGTTATTGCTGGATGATAGAACGAAATTTTAAAGTTTAAAATTTAAAACCTACAACCTCTGCCTTCTCTCTCCCCCCTCCCCCCCTCCTTCCCATTCCCCCTCTCCCTTGTCTGGGGTCTAGGGAGGAGTTACAGCAGGAGGACTACCCCCACCTCCCTACTTGATGTTAACATCCTTCTACCCCTCCTCACCCCCTTGCAAATTTTCATGAGCTCCTTTCTTTGCTTGCACGTCCCTGGTGCGACCTTACTTCTGCTGCATATCTGTACTCACTGATTAAGTGAGTTAATCACTTAATCACTCACTGATTAAGTTAAGTCGGATGTTGGACTCACTGCGCTGAAGGGTGCCGAGTTCAGGCCCTCCTCCACTACTTAGTTGTGTGGCCCTCATACAAGTGTGACCCTCACTTGTATGAAGAATCTAAAAAAGCCAAGCTCATAGAAACAGAGAGCAGAATGGTGGTTGCTAGGGGTTGGGGAGTGGATGAAATGAGATTCAAACTCATTTCAAAGGATACAAACTCCCAGCTGTAAGGTGAATAAGTTCAGGAGATCTAATGTACAGTACGGTGACTGTAGTTAATAATACTGTATTATATACTTGAAAAGAGAGCAGATCTTAAATGTTCTCACTACATGCATACACATACAAACACACACACACACTAAGATAAATGAGGTGATAGAAGTGTTAGCTGACCCTGTTTTGTTTTGCAACATGTACATGTACCAAAGCATCATGTTGTGCACTTAAATGCACACAATCTTACGTTAATTATATCTCATTAAAGCTGAAAAAAAATTTTAAAAATCATATCCCTATGACACTCAGGCTCCTTCCACTTCTAATTGTTTTGAGAGGCACTGCATGCCCTCTGGCTTTAGGACACATGTTCTGGTGCTCAAAGTGGAATTCCAGAGAATTGCCAACCTCAGCTCTGATATGTAGAGACAACATCATCAGTTACAACAACCCAAAGTTGAAACAGGCAGGGAGGGTACATCCCTCTCCTCAAGAAGGGGAGTCATCTGTTTAGCATGAGTGAGGTCTCCATAAGAACTATAGGTACATTTGCCAGAGAGAGGGGAGGGAATCCTTCTGTGGAGGAACAATTTGGGCTTATCTGAGGGCCGCTAAACCAAGCCTTCAGTAATCACAGTAGATATTGTCCTAGAAAAGGGCCCTAATGTGTGACAGCATTAGTAATGCCTTCACAGACTTCTCTTGATTCACCACCTGGAGTGTCCGGATCTTATCAGAATACTATGGGATTTTAGCTATGGGTATAAGGCAGCAGCCCTATGCTACTGTGAATTTGGTGCTTACCTTATACCAACCCTCTGGACCATTTGTGGGCCAGGTTGGCCTGGCTATACAGTGTTCACCCGATATATTTAAGAGGGAATAGTGGTCTTTACTGACAGGTTTTAAAAGCATTGGACTTCCTTGGGAAAGCTTGCTAGAGATAGAGCAGAAAGATGCAAGAGGTGGGGTGCCTGGGTGGCTTAGTCGGTTAAGCGTCCGACTTTCGCTTAGGTCATGATCTCGTGGTTCGTGGGTTCGAGCCCCGCGTCGGGCTCTGTGCTGACTGCCAGCTCAGAGCCTGGAGCCTGTTTCAGTCTGTGACTCCCTCTCTCTCTGACCCTCCCCTGCTCACACTGTCTCTCTCTCTCTCCTAGAAATAAATAAAACATTAAAAAATTAAAAAAAAAAAAGATGCAAGAGGAAAAGTCAGTAATGGGTCTGTTTGTTCATTCATGTAACAAGTGTGGATCTATGACAGGCTCTGTGCTAGAGGCTGTCAATCATCCAGGAGGACAGAACTAGGAAGTCAGTGGGGCTGCACCGTATCCTAACACCCAACAGACACACAGTGGGTAAATACATTAGTAGGCAAAGCCGTAAGAATGGGAAATACAAAGACTGATTGTAGAAGCAATTGCAAGGGGAGGTGAGGAAGACCGAGGATTGAGAGCTGAGTTGAGGTACCTGCGGAAACAGCTCAAGCAAAAGCAGGAAGGCAGATGAAGAGGGCATGCTCAGAAGACAGTGAGCGGTGTGGTGAGGCTGGATGACAAGTCACACTTGGGCCATGTAGGAAGGACTTGAGGACCAGGCCGAGGCATTTGGGTTTGACATTGCAGTACATGAAGATCCATGGAAACTTTGTTATTTGAAAATAGGTATAATTTATATACCATAAAATTCACTCATTTTAAGTGTACAATTCAGTGATGTCCAGTAAAGTTACTGAGTTGTGCAATCATCACCATGATCCAGTTTTAGAACATCCTCATCACTCCAGCAAGATTCATTGTGCCTATTTTGCTTTCTATTTCTGTAGGTTTACTTTTGCACAACAATTCATATAAATGGAATAATTTAATATGTGGTTTTCCATGTTGGGTTCTTTCACTTAGCATAGTGTTTTTGGAGTCCATCCATGTTGAAGCATTCAATTATATGGATATACCACATTTGATTTATCTATTTACCAGTTAATGCCCATGTGGGTAGTTTCAACCTTTTCACAATTATTATTAAGGCTGCTATGAACAGTCTTATGTGCAAGTCGTTGTTTTCTTGGGAATTGTTGGGTTATATAGTAAATTTATAGTTAACTTTGGGGCCATAAAATTCACAATTTGGTGAATTTTAATAAATTTACAGAGTTGTACAATGTAATTTTAGAATACTTCTAATATCTTATAAAGAAACCTTCTTCCCACTTATAGTCATTCTACATTTCCACTCCCAGCTCTCCGCAACCTTTTATTTACTTTGTATCTCTATAAATTTGCCTTTTATAAACATTTCATATTAACTGGATCATATAACATGTGGTTATATGATCTTTTGTATCTGACTTCTTTCACCAAATATAATGCTTTTAAAGTCCATCCATGTTATACAATATATCAGTACTTCATTCCTTTTTACTGTCAAATGATATTTCATTTTTTGGATATGCCATATTTTGTTTATCCATTCACCAGTTAATGGACATTTGTATTGTTTCCACTTTTTGTCTATTTTGAATAATATTGCAGTGAGCATTCACGTACAAGTTTTGTGTGGATGTATGTTTTCATTTCTCTTGGGTAGATATGTAGAAGTAAAATTACTGGGTCGTATAGTAAGTATATACTAAACCTTTTAGGAAACTGCAAAATTGTTTTTCCAAAGTGGCTGCAACATTTATTTTCCCATAGGAGAGTCTCAGTTTCTCCCTATTCTCACCAACACTTGTTATTGTGACTTTTTGATTATAGCCATTCTAGTGGATGTGAAGTGATATCTTATTGTGGTGTTAAGTTGTATTTCCTTATGACCAATAATGGTCAACATCTTTAAATGTGTGTACATATTAGCTTTTCATATATCTACTTTGGTGAAATGTCGATTCAAATCTTCTGCCCATTTTCAAATTGGGTTGTTTTATTATTGTGTTGTAAGAGTTCTTGATATATTCTGGATATATTATCGGATTTATTAATTGTAGTTATTTTCCTCCTGACCTGTGGCTCATCTTTTCATTTTCTCAATGGTAACTGTTGAAAGATTTTTGAGGAGAAAGGGGACAAGACAGAGTTGTGCTTCAGAAAGAGTCTAGCAGCAGTGTCCATTGAAATGGACAGAGAATTTGAACTAATACTCCTAACTAACTAATAACTCCTTAAATTGTAATATAGGGAATAAGCACAAGCCAAGTTTCTCAAAATTCTCTGGGAATCAAAGGGTTATAAGCAACTATTTATTGAAGCCTGTTTACAGTCCAGTTAACCAGTAAGCCAGAATCAGTGAAACTACCCAATCTGGGGGAGTACAAAAGCCTTTCAGAAGGTTTCCCTGGATTAGGAAAATCAGAGAGATGGAGGAGGAGAGATGAGCTATTCCAGGGCTACATAAATAACTTCCAGCACTGAACACGACAATTCTGAACTACCTTGCCAGGTGCTGTCGCACTGGTGTTTACTGGCGGGAAACTAGGAAGAGCTGGATCTTGGCCCTTGGATTTTGACTGGTTGCTGGGAGAGGTGGAGCCCATTTTAGTGGGTCTCTGAAAAAGCCCGTCAAGATGTCAGGCCTGCTCTCAGTCTTCTTCCACCTCCTCTTTCTCTTCAAGTTGGTTGCCCCAGTGACCTTTCGCCACCACCGCTATGATGACCTTGTGCGGACGCTGTACAAGGTGCACAACGAATGCCCCTACATCACGCGGATTTACAGCATCGGGCGCAGTGTGAAGGGGAGACACCTCTATGTGCTGGAATTCAGCGACTACCCTGGAATCCACGAGCCCTGTAAGCCCTGCGCAGTTCTTGGAGTGTATGGGACAGGACCCTTCCCTGAGAAATCCAGTAATCAGGGTTGTTTTCTGGGGAAGTCCATGGACCCCTCCACCTATAAAGTATCTCTTCCTCCATCTGTGCTAAATATTTCCCCACTGAGCCCTCAAATTGCCCCTGCCTCTGGGAAACTACAACCCCAATTCAGGCTCTAGTCTGTTCCTCCTTTAGAGGTTCTGTTTGCTTAAGACCTTAATGCTAAAAGGTGAGTCTCCTTCCCTCCTCCCATCCCATCCCCCTGCCTTCCCTCCCATTATGCTTCTTTCTTCCTTTTTGTTATGCTATCTTTAACCAGCGCTTCAGGAGACTTAGGCAGAAACAATCAGCTCTTCTAGTTCCATCAGGAAGCCTCAAAGGGTTTCAGGATATCTCTTTGGGGAATGACAGTGTGATAGTATATGGGATCCTGGAGAGAATTTGAGGTCTTGGGTATTAGTTTTATGTGCTGCATTACTTTTTGTTAGTTTGTTTCTATTATAAAAGCAATCAGTGTTTAGATTAAAATAGAAGTTAGTTAAGGACACAAAAACAAAGCTCACACCCTAATCCTACCATCCACAGAGGATCATTGTTAATATATTGATGCATATCTTTCCAGACCTTTTTGTATGCATGTTTAACAACCCCCCCACACACATTTTTTAATAAAAATGGAATCATATTAGAAATGCTTTTCTCATTCCATTGTCTTTCATAAGTAGCACCCATGTCTGTAAATGTACCTCTTCATCATATTTTGGTTGCTGAATATTCATTGCTTGGTTGTATTTAACTGTTGATTGAATGATGGGCATTGGAGTTGTGTCTAATTTCTCACTTCTTGACTTAGAACAACTGTGGCATCCAAATTATGTCCGTTCCTCCTTCACATTGTCACCTTCAAATCTCTCTCTTTCTTTCCACTCCCACACCTCCCACACTAGCCTAACATCATCACAACCTGCCTAATCATCACACTAGGTTCCTGACTTCCAACTCCTACCTGCCTCCATTCTCTAAAACTCCCCTTCAGCACACCGATGCCAAAATACTTTTCCCAAATACTCAGATAATCCTCTCTCTCACTCCCCTGCTTAAAATCCTTTAGTGACAACCTCACACCCAGTGGATCCTGTCTGTGACAGCCTCAGATTGCTACATGGCCAGTGAGGAGGCTAATGGGGGAGTGGCGCTGGCTCAAGGAAGTCTATGCCATTAAATGAGGATAAGGACTTTGCTTTGAAGCCACACTTGCACAGAAAGCACTGTGCTTTTGGGGGTGTGTGTTCATTGAAGAAGCTTGTGGGTACTAGTTTTAGGGCCAGCCCCTCATGCCATGCATTCAAGGCCTCCTTTAAGCCTTTCCATACTATTCAACCCCTCGCTAATCTCTCTTTTCTCTGATTCCCTATAACTTAACTGTTCATCCATTCATTCCTTTCATGCATTCGTTATTCATTCCACAAATATTACTGATTATCCGCAGTATCTGTAAGCACTTTTGTAGACTCTGAATATACAACAAACAGATAAAACAAAGACACCTCCCTCAGGGGCCTTAATTTTAGCCATGTAAGACTGGCAACAAATGGGTAACTAAGTAAGTACATATTAAGTCAGATGAAAAAACAAAGTGCTATGGAGAAAAATAACCTTTAACAGAGAGATAGAGAATGCCCTAGGCAGGAGAGAGGGCCGTTGCTATTTAGGAAAAGCGTCTCCTTTGAGGTGAATTTTGAGCATGTGATGGGCCCTGCCACGCTGTAACTGAGGAGGAAAGTGTTTGCAGACAGAGGGAAGGGCAGGAACAGTCTTGCAGGTGTGAGGAGCAGCGAGCGGGCCCCTGTGGCTCCAGCAGAGTGAGCCTTGGGAAAGCAAGGTCAGGGCAGTACGGCTGGGCCTAGGCATACCGGGCAGGAGATCAGGTCGTGCCTTACAAGTCTGGGTGAAGATTTCGGCTTTTAGAGTGAAGTGAGAAGCCACTGGAGGGTTTTAAGCAGAGGAGTGACATGGTCTGACTTAAATTTGTAAAATTAAGTTTTCAACTGGGATGATTAGGAATTGTTATGCCATAACCCAAGCAGGTCTTGGGAAAACACCATTCTTACCCTGAAAAGACTTGTTTCTGAGAAGCATCAGGCTACTGTGAATGCATCTGGGCTTTGGCCTCCATTTTCTTAAATAACTAGGTGATCTCCAACAGGTTACTCAGCTGCTTCCATACCTTCCTCATCCTGTGGCTAATGGTGCCTACTTCACAGCTTTTCTGTGAAGATTAGGAGGAATGAACACAGAAGGGGCTCGATGGCATGGGTTTCTGTAGCATTTATATTTGCAATTTGTTCAAAAGAGCCTCGGGGATCGCGGGAAAAGACTCAATGGAAGCATAAAATTTTCATCTATTCATTACGGGAAGAGAGAGGGAAAGATCCCTGTGCAAGGCTAGGAATCCTTGCCGCTTGCCAGCTTTCCCCATCCTCTCTTCCTGCGTGTTCTTGTCGCCCTTGCAGTGGAACCAGAAGTCAAGTACGTGGGGAACATGCACGGCAACGAGGTGCTGGGCCGCGAGTTGCTGCTGCAGCTGGCGGAGTTTCTGTGCGAGGAGTTCCGGAGCGGGAACCAGCGCATCGTGCGGCTGGTGGAGGGCACGCGCGTTCACATCCTGCCGTCCATGAACCCAGATGGCTACGAGGTGGCTGCCGCCCAGGTACCGAGCCCCCTGGGGCCAGAGCCCTCCGGGGAGTCCGCAAAAGCGTCAGCGCATTCCCGCTGTTGAGGCCACTGTGCATTAGAGAAAAAGCCGGTGGAGATACAACACAGTGTGCAGACGCCCTTCAGCACTGCGGCCCTAAGCAGTGAACGTGGGCTGCCTCCACACCCTTCCAGCAGACCTCCCGGTTTTGTTTTGGGGATCAATGAGGCAATATCTGTGACAGTGCTTTGTAAACTGGAAAGTACTAACCAGCTGTGAAGGGCTCTTGCAAAACCGACCTCCTTCCCTCTGTTTTTTAGCTTCTAACCCTAAATACTCTTCTCCCTGCTACCCTACACTTCCCATTTGCGTTGGGAGTGGGTGCGTGGGTGGGGGAGGGAAACAGAACTAGCTTGTCCGAGAATGGGGAAGTCGGGGGCTAATTCTAGATTCTTCATGCATTTGGTTATATTTCTTTTTTTAAATTGAGGTATAATTGACATGCAATATTATATTTGTTTCAGATGTACACCATAGTGATTGGACATTTGTGTGCATTGCTAAATGAATATTTTACTATATTTATGTACAACTTTTTCCTCTACTAATATAGTACTCAGCCTTTCAATTCTTTATTTTGGAGTTACATTTTGCAGGGGTCTATCGGCTTTTACTTTATTTCCTGACATAAATTCAGAATGTCAACGTGCCTAACTTTAAATCAATGGTTTTGTGTGTGTGGCTGTGCATTAGAACCATACCTGAAGATTTTTTGAAATATAAATTCCTAGGTCTCCACACCCCAAACCCTCATCTACTTGAATTAGAATGTGGTGGGGAAGGGAGGGGTGAAGCCAGGCATCTTCCTGGTACAATGGATATGTCCCTTTAAAAACTGTGTTTAATTAAACCTGGTTTGTTTGGGGTTTGGGGTGAGGGATTGTAAATTAAAGAGGGTTTTTTTTCCAATTTAAAAATATGTTTATTTGGGGTAGTCTTGAGACTTTTTTCATTTTTAAGACTAGATTTCACTACTTAACTTAAAAAAATTACTTTATTGTGGTAAGAACACCAAAGATGAACTCTATGCTCTTAATTTTAGTGTACAACATGGTATTGTTGACTATAGGTACAGTGTCACACAACTAGTCTCCAGAACTTATTTATCCTGTTCAACCAAAACGTTATGTACCTTCATTAGTAACTCCCCATTTCCTCCTCCTCCCAGCCCCTGGCAACCACCCTCCGCTCCGGTTCCATGAATCTGACCACTCTATCCCGCTCAAGTAGAACCGTGAGGCATCTACTTTTTAAACCTGCTTGAGAATAGTGCTGGGGAGGTCAGTAGAGGCAGGGAAGGGAATGGAGCCAAGATGCTGAATGAAACACAAATTTGACCCTTGCAGCTTCCTGCCAACACAACTCATCAAATGAGAAAAAAAAGCTTTGTTCCTCTACTGAAAAATCAGATAAGTGCCCATTAACGTCTTCAGGCTTGAGTTTCCAAAATAGCAGGAAAATTTGGAAGAGTTGTAGGGGAGACCTCCAGCCTGCTTGCTTTCCTTCTATTGGTCCTTCCCAATGTTGCAGTGCAGAAACCAGAGGACCTCAGACTTGCCCATGTCTCTTGTGGAATGAGGTGGGGTGGGGGGAAGTGGGGAAAATCCCTGACAGCCCTGTAAATCCTAGAACCATCTCCAGGGAGCCAGTCACCTCGGCCCACCTGCTGGGTACTTGCTCAGAGGGAGCAGAGCTTGAACCTGAGCACAAGAGAAGCCTGATCTGGTTCTCAGACTCCCAGAGCCACCTGCCATACCCAGAGGAAACCTGTCTGCAGAGCTATACAGGGAAGACCTGCCTGGCCACCAGACTTTAAAGCTACCTGTGGGTAAAACAGAAGAATCTCCCCTTCCTCCACCCCACCACAGATTTCCAAATCGTAATCCCTAGAAACTGTGCGTATGTTCTATTACATGGCATGGGAGAAGTAAGGTTGCAAGTGGAATTAAGATAAGCTAATCATCTGACCTTAAAATATCCTGGATTATTTGGATGGGTCCAGTGTAATCAGTCACAGGGGTCCTTTGATATGGAAGAGGGAAGCAGAAGGTCACAGAGAGATTTGAAGATGTCATGCCAACGAATGTGGGTGGCCTCTAGAAGCTGGAAAAATCAGGAAACAGATTCCCTTAGAGTCCTCAAAAAGAACACAGCCTTGCTTGTGCCTTTATTTTAGTCTTATGAAACCCATTTCAGTCTTCTGACCTCTAAAACTATAAGATAATAAGCTTGTGTTGTCTTAAACCACTAAGTATGTAGTAATTTTTTTACAGCAGGAATAGGAAAGAAACACACTACCTACCCTATTGATGAGAACTTTCTGTTAAGGAAACTCCTTACCCGCCAGCCTAACTAATGACCTGATGTGAGTGACAAATTGGCTCGTAAGTAAATTAATATAACTGTTAATATGGACAGTTATGAGCTACAGTGATATGAATGAGCAAGTAGTGAAAAACTCCTGGAAGTGTAATGAAAATCATTATCTCATAGAAGTGAAAAATCAAACTCCAAATTGAAAAACTATACAGATATTTTCCACCAGAGCAAAGTGAATGTAGGGAATGAGATATAAGAATAAGATATGAGCAGAGTGCCATGAAAAAAAAAAAATCTAAGGACAATAAAAAATTTTTAAAATATGAAAATGGTAGTACATCTGTGAGTGTTTAGCTGCACACATCCATCCATTCACCCCACTTCCAGGAGCTGCTACTCATTTGGGCTCCACCCTCTCTATCCACAGGGGCTCCTGTGGACACCACTCCCCTTCTCCAATGCCATACAAAACAGTAGATGGCATTTCAGTTTTCTGAAGGCCTTTGAACATATCACTCTTCTGGCCCTTTATATATTTTAATTATTTACATATATATCTACCTGTACATATTATGAATTCCTAGAAGGTAGGCATAATGTCTCATTATCTCTTTTCCTAGTGTCTTTCAGAGGGCTCTGAGTAGAGAAGCACTTAAGTAAATGTTTATTGGCTAAAAGGATGGATGAATGAGTGAATGCATGACCAAATAAATGATAACAATCTGAAGTGTGAGCAGGGAAATAAAGGGATCCAGGAGGTTGGCATTGCTGAGAAGAAAGATAAACAAGGATCCTAAATTTAAAAAATTAAAGGAGTAGGAGTGCTTTCCATGGTGCAGCTGCTTTGGAAACAGTTTAGAAGTTTCTGAAAAGGTTAAATATAGACTTCAGCTATGACCAAGTAGTTCTACTAGTTGGTGTCTACCCAAGAGAAATGAAAACATACATCTGTACAAAGACTTGTACACAAATGCTCATAGCAGCATCATTCACAATAGCCAAAAAGTGGAGATGACCCAGATGTCCATGGACAGGGTTGAATAGTACCCTCCCCAAAATTTGTGTCTAACCTGGAGCCTCTGACTGTGACTTTATTAGGAAATAGAGTCTTTCCATATGCAGTCAAGCTAAGGTGCAATCATACTGGATTGGGATGACCAACTCAAATCTGACTGGTGTCCTTATAAGAAGAAAGAAATCTGTACAGAGACACCCATGAGGGAGAAACGCTATGAAAATGGAAGTAGAAATTGAAGCAATGCATCTACAAGCCAAGGAGTGTGTCAAGGATGGCTGGCAACCACTAGGGTCTGGAAGAGACAAAGAAGGAGCTTCTTCTAGGGTCTTTGGAGCATATGACCCTGCTGACCTCTTGATTTCAGCCTCCAGAACTGTGAGAGAATACATTTCTGTTGTGATGGGCCACCCAGTCTGTGTAATTTGTTTCAGCAGCCCTAGGAAACTACTAGTCTATTAATTGGTAAGTACACAAAGTATAGTAAATCCATATAATGGAATACTAGTCAACAATAAAAAGGAATGAAATACTGACACATGCTACAAAGTGGAGGAACCTCAAAAAACATTGTGCCCAGTGATAAAAGCCAAACATGAAGTGTGTGATTCCCACTTACTGAAATGACCAGAAAAGGCAAATCTAGGGAGACAGACAGTGATAAACTAGGGCCAGACTAAGAATGAGGAATGACTGAGTGGGTGTGAGGTCTCTTTTTGGGATGTTAGAAATACTCATCAGTTTGATTAAGCCGATGTTCATACAACTCTTGTCAGTAGGAACTAGAATTCATGAATTGTGCAATAAAATGGGTGAATTTTATGGTATGTAAATTACTCCTCAGTAAAGCCATATTTTAAAAATAGCAGTTCCCATTATCCTGAAACACCCTACTCTTGTCAGAGCTTCTCCTGGGATCTCTACCATTGACACATGGTTTACAGGGAAACTTGAACCCCACCACTGGGACTTTGGATGAATTAATGGAGAAAATGCTGCATCATTTGATAGATTAATGCCCCCCTCCCTCCCCAAAACTCTGCAGTGTTCTTCAAATATAGGATCCAGCCTGAAACCTTCCTTTCTCGTTTCTACATTTTCCTGCTAGGGCGCAGACGTTTCTGGATACCTGGTTGGCAGGAACAATGCAAATGGAGTGGACCTGAACCGCAACTTCCCTGACCTCAACACCTACATCTACTACAATGAGAGACATGGAGGCCCTAACCACCACTTGCCCCTCCCAGACAACTGGAAGGGTCAGGTAGGAGAGGAAATGTGCATGTCGAATGGGGTATATCAGCTTCTGGAATTTCTTCTCACAGTCTCCAGGTCAATTAAACAAGCAGGAAGTAAGCATCCACTCAACTCTGTTAATCTGTGCAGAGCGGCAAGAACTGTATCTTCCCCTCTTTGTATCTCTTCTCTCCCAGCAAAGAGGCCCTCCTGGAGCACAAGCAGTTTGATGTTAGTGGTGAAGCTAGTGAAGTGAAAGCGGTTATCATAGATACCATTGTGCGGTGCTTTACCATGTTACAAAATTCTTACTTTGCCACTGTTTCCACTGATCGTTGTAATGCTGTGAAATGAATGCACGAAGCAGGGCTGAGATCCGTCCCTGGTTTACACTCATACAGCTAGTAACTGGTGGACTCAGGATTAAAACCCAGGCCTTCTGATTCCTAAGCCAACATTCTTTCTACCAGACTATCCTGTCAAAAGAAGACTCTAGCATTCTGTAGAGAAATCTCTCTTACATGTGATGAACTGTGTACTCACCAACAATTAGCTACAGAAGGAAGCTCAGGGAACTCACTCCTACAGTTTTCCCCTGCCCTTTCTGTCTGACTCTCGGCTGCTTTACCTTACTGTCATTTCCCTTACTGTCTCAATCTGAAGAGCCCAGCTGATGCACCCAGGCCTGGAGGCCTGGAATGCCACCCATGGTAATGAGAGTGCTCCTGGGAATAACCACTGTGATCCTCGGAGCATCCCCATCACCACCCTGTTCCTTCCACCGTGTAAGGTACTTTTCAATGTTCTATTTGTGAATATTTAAACTTAGAGATTGCAAATGTAAGGCTTTCTATTGGGAGTTTCCAGAAGGAATAGTCTCAGTTTTTCCCCCTTGGAAATGAGGCAAAAGTCATGCTGACAAGTTTAGATTTCAGATGGCAACTATGTCCTTGGCTCAACTAAATAATAAGTCAAAAGTAACCTTGTAGTAGTTGGCATATCTAGCCCAAAGGATGTCCTGATTTATTAAACTATCCAACTAAAATAAGGTAATTGAGCTAATAGTAATTAGACTTCCACTGGCTCCTTTTTCTCCATCTTAGAAGAACAAAGGCAAGTCTTCTTGCTCCTTATGGGAGAGGAGCAGTGAGAAGCTGGCCTCATGCTGATGGATGGTGGCTTAGGACATGGAGAAAGGGCTGCTTCAAAGGATCTGAGCCCTGGTCACAGAGCGGGACTGGTGCCTTTGGTATCATATCCATTCTGATCGGGCGTCACTCAACCCTATTCATCCAGTCCCTCAGGAAGGGCAAAGAAAAGGGCCGTTGCAGCTGACTGTTGGTCCAAGAGGAGCCATTAGCACATTAACACCACATGACCTCTAAGCAAATCCGTCCTGAGAGGAGGGAAAACACTAAAGACTAAATTATTTACCTATACTGCAAATTCTAGTAGATTCAAGGCTTTCTTTAAAATACTATCACTCACTAGGAACATAATATGCAATCAAGAGTGTGGAATTCAACTACTTAGCCAAGACTGGCCCTTATCACACTATGTCTGACCTATGAAATTTGGATATGACCACAGGAGCGAGTTCTTCTTGTCAATATTACAGCAGATGTGGTGGTGTAAGGAGGAGGTTGAAAATCATTACTGTAAACCAATGCTTCCCAGATGTATTTCCTAGAGCCCTAAATATCTGCAGAGGTGCTTCAGAAGCTGCTGGAGCAATGGGAAAATTGGAGAACCCCTTCCTTGTTGTCAGAGAAGCCAAGCTGGGGCCCTCAGCTCTCCACCCTCTTCACACCTTTCTCTCTTTCTTTCTGTCTCTGTCTCTCTCTCAATAGACTTTATTTTTTCCCATCCTACAAGAACCCATAACTTATTAATGACAGAAACAATATAAAATTTCAAGCCAAGCTGCAGCTATTCTTTTGAAACACCAAAAAAAGTTTCTTGTTTCCAGATGGCTACACTGTTAACTCCGTAATAGTATTTACAACGGCATTACTGTTGTTCTCCAGTGCTGGGACTGCTTTTGCTCTTGACACATTTACTTGCGACATGACTGGGTCTATGTCCTTAATTTCCACACCTATTTCATCAACCTCTTCTTCACTCTGCTCTTGTACAGTTGGAGTCTGTGTGTTTTCCCGAATGTCTGAGACAGCTTCATCTTGAACTTTCAGTTTCTCAGCAGCTGCGAGTTGTGCCTGCTGAGATAAGTCCTTGATAAGAGACTTTATTTTTTAGAGCAGTTTTAGGTTCCCAGCAAGCTTGAGGGGGAAGTCCAGAGTTCCCATGTACTCCCTGCTTCCCATTATTAACATCCCCCAACAGAGTGATAATTTGTTACAACTGATGAACTACCTTGGCCCATCATTATCACCCAAGTCCATAGTTTACATTAGTGCTCACTGTTCATGGTGTACGTTCTATGGTCTGTGGCATTTGTCCGCTGTCACAGTATCATATACAACAGTTTCACCTCCCCAGATGCTCTCCCTTTACCTACTTTGTATATTGGGATTCCACATGTGATGTCATTTTGAAAAAGAGTCCATCCACTTAATTTTTTATTTTTATTTTTTTAAGTTTATTTAGAGAGAGAGAGAAAGCAAGTGAGCATGAGTGGGAGGGGCAGAGAGAGAGAGGGAGAGATAGGGTCCCAAGCAGGCTCTACACCGTCAGCATGGAGCCCGACACAGGGCTCGCTTGAACTCACAAACTATGAGATCATGACCTGAGCCGAAATCAGGAGTTGGATGATTTAACCGACTGAACCATCCAGGCATTGTTCCACTTAAATTGTTTAAACCATTATGCAAAAGACCAGAGTTTCCCCATCTCCTTTTCTCATAACCAGGAGGACACTGTTTTATTCAGGCGTACTATCCTCTCAGGCCACTTCCTGACAAACCTCTATGGACGGCCGTCTGCCACCTCCCGTTGCAGCTCCACTGCTAGACCCTCATCTCTCCACAGGTGGAACCCGAGACTGAAGCTGTGATCCACTGGATCCGCTCCTTCAACTTTGTCCTTTCGGCCAATCTCCACGGAGGAGCCGTGGTGGCCAATTACCCATATGACAAGTCCTTCGAGCATCGGGTCCGAGGCATGCGCCGCACTGCCAGTACCCCCACGCCCGATGACAAGCTTTTCCAGAAGGTATGCAGAATGGCAGCTTGTTCAGCCAGAGGAACGTGGGACTCAGGAGAGGATTTAAGGGGTCTGATTTACAAGGTTATGGTAATATGACTATATTAGTAAAAAATAGACTATGTGCATGAAAAAGGTTTACCTAATAGTTCCAAGCAGCAAGAGAATAAAATCAAGAGATTATTTTATAGTTAATATATTAGTAGTAACATATAATGAATACAAATAATTAACATTAATTATTAATTCATCAATTAATGAATTCCATAGAGAATAACACCAGTTATTGCTTTGCAAAGCAAATATATTATTATAACTTTCTCCAGTAATCTCATTTTTTCCCACTGTTATAAAGTAGTACTAAAAGGAAAGTGTAGAGATTCCGCATATATTCCTCATCCCCCAACACACACCTCTCACCCCTAGTACATACAGTAGTCCCCCTTACCCATGGGGGGTCCGTTCCAAGGCCCCCAGTGACTGCCTGAAACTGCAAGTAGTACTGAACCCTATGTATAATTTTTCCCTATACATTCCTGCGATAAAGTTTAACTTGAAAATTAGGCACAGTAAGAGATTAACAATAATAAGTAATAATAAAATACAGCAGTCATAACAATATACTATAATAAAAGTTATGTGAATGGTATAATAGAATATTAGTTACATGAAAGTTATCATAAAAGTTAAATGAATTTCTCTCAAAACATCTTACTGTGCTATACTCACCTTTCTTGTGATGATATGAGACGATAAAATGTCTACCTGGTGAGATAAAGTCAGGGGAATGACATTGGCATTGTGACCTAGCATTAGGCTACTACTGACCCTCTGACATATAGTCAGAAGGAGGATCATCTGCTTCCTGACCCGAGCTGACCACAAGTAATGGAAACCATGGCAAGTGAAACCATGGGTAAGGGAGTTCTACTGTAATTCTTCTCATGGTGAAGGCCTATTTTACTTGCTCCTTGTTTTCTTTTATAAAATTCAGCTAGAAAATGGTACACCTAGAAGGGAGCTTATATGTCATCTGGTGTCACCCCTCACTTTGCACTTGAAACTTATCCCCAGGAGAGTGGAAAAATCAGAACACAGTTCTCCTAACTCTAGTCCAACACACACACACACACACACACACACACACACACACACACACACCATTTCCCTATGCCCGCTGGTATTTTCTTTCACTAAATCAAGTAATGAGCTGTTTACATAGCATGGGGTTTTGTGGTATCACCCTACTTCTGAGTGTGAGCACTGCCTTAGGAGTTGGGAGCACTCAGGTCGTTCTCCACCTGCTTGACCCCCAGCTGGCCAAGGTGTACTCCTACGCACATGGATGGATGCACCAGGGATGGAACTGTGGGGATTACTTCCCGGACGGCATCACCAATGGGGCTTCCTGGTATTCTCTCAGCAAGGGTAAGAGGAGTCCTGGGGACAGCAGTGCTGCAAGCTGGGGTGGAATGGGGCTCATCCCTTCTAAATTATCATTTTTTCTCAGGGAAACAGCAAGAATAGTATAGAATTTTGCATTCAAGTAGAGATCTGAGCAATGGAGAAGTCTTAAGTTGGCATTTAATGTCATGTTCTGATGCTTTAAAATGAAGGTAGGGACACCTTGTTGTCCTTTATTATTTTTATTTATTTATTTATTTGTTTGTTTTATTTGAGAGAGAGCACACGCACAGGGGAGAGGTGCAGAGGGAAAGAGAGAGAATCCCAAGCAGGCTCCATGCTCAGTGTGGAACCTGGTGCAGGGCTGGATGTGGGGCTTGACCCAAGGCTCAGTCCCATAGCCTTGAGATCATGACCTGAGATGAAGTCAAGAGTCAGGCGCTCGACCAACTGAGCCACCCAGGTGTCACACCTTGTGGTCCTTTAAAACCAGTGGTTTACAGAATAGATTAGGGCATGGGAGGGAAATAGTGTAGTCGAGTGGTTAAACGTATGGCTGTAAGGGTACACTGAGTTGAAACCCAGCTTGCCCATTTACCAGTTATGGGGCTTCAGGGTAATAACCTCTCTGCCTTGGTTTCTCATCTGTACTTTAAGAATCACAATACTTGCATTGTAATTTTGATGCGAACATTCAATAAAACAATGTATATAAAGCATTTGGAAATGGGTGGCTTCTAGATGTTAGGGTCTTTTCTAAGTAGCATGGAGGTATGCCTCACATAGCAACAGATGACCAAAGGTGCTGGCCTGGGTGCCAACAGTTCCTGTGATGCGTGCTCTCCGTACCCTGTCTGCCCATCTCCTCTGAGCTGGACTTTGCCATGGACATAGGCCACTGACAGCATAGCAGAAACCTTGAGCAAGAGGCTTCTCTCTCTGTTCTCTGGGCCTTCCCCATCCCTGAGGGGTGACAGGTCTATTTATGAACCTTTGGTAGATGGAGACCCTAAAGATAGGGAAGAGACTGAAGCAGGAAGCCAGCTTCTTTTAGGTATCACATTTTAGCAGCTGTCTCTCCCATCCTTTTAAATCTGACCTGGACAGGGCCCAGATAACAGAAAGCTCACTGGTAAGGGCTGAGCTGATGGCTGGTTCTATGGAAAGTGGGGAGGAGGATGGTTAGGGAGTCACCATGTACTGGGAAGTGGTAGACTTCTGTGGCCGACAACCTGCTTATACACAAGGTAAGAAGATTTTGTTGAGCTTTATTATTTTTTTTTTAGTTTGCCTTAAGGAAGCAATAGGTACCCCATACACAATTGAAAATTTCAAATATACTTTTCCAAATTGTATTTGTTTTTCCCTCCCCTTTCCCATCATCTAAGAAAGCATGGTCCATGCTTCCCAAAATAAACTGATAACAATTCCAAGGTTATTCCGTTCATTAAAATGATTGTTCCAAAAGTGTGGTCTCTGGACCAGCATCATTGATGTCAGCTGGGAACTTGTTAGAACTGCAGGTTAGGAGGGCCTCACCCCGTACCTACTGAAACTTGGGCTAAGGCTCAGCAACCTGCATTAGTCTGGGCACAGCCTTCTAGATTATTCTGATGCAGAGAGAGATCCAATGTAAGAGGTCACAGTTGTTCTTCAATTTCTCCATTCTTTCTATAACAGCTGCTTATGTTTATCAGCTCAGAGCAGGTGAAAATTGATTAAATGACTAGTTTTTAACCTAAACACATTTGTGATATATACACCTAATAATCAGGAACATACTAAAGAATCATTGATTCAACTGATTAATATAGAAGATAGAAGCAGACAAACATTGATGGAAGAAAACTATAGCTGCCTTATGCTTTTTCGAGGGCCTGTGTTTCTGAGTTAACTGCTCTCAGGTTAGTGCAGCATTCTCAGACAGGAGGAGGGCTGTGAAAACAAGGTATCTCAGCTCCAAGGTCTGAAGAACACCATCACCCAGAGAGAAGATCTGTACCCCCGGAAGCAGCACGGGTGTAGTCCAATATCAAGGCATTACTACCAAGCAGACTTTGGAAATGCTAAGAAGGTCAGGAGTGAATTTAAGCATTGAGATGGGGAAGAGGAGAGGATGGAGATGACATAATGGGCATTTATGAAGAGAGAAAACTGGGAAATTGGGGAAAGATTTTATGGAGGAGAAAAATAAATGGAGATCAAGAGGTATAATAGAAGGTCACAGAGTGGTGAGGTGGTGGTAGTGGTGGAGAAATCGCAGTTAAGGAGAGTGGAGGTGGGGAGTGCCAGTGTGGCTCAGCCAGTTAATGGTCCAACTTCAGCTCAGGTCATAATCTCACAGTTTGCAGGTTCGAGCCCCGTGTTGGGCTCTGTGCTAACATCTCAGAGCCTGGAGCCTGCTTCAGATTCTGTGTCTCCCTCTCTCTCTCTGCCCCTCCCCTGCTCTTGCTCTGTCTTTCTTTCTCAAAAATAAATAAACGTTAAAAAAATTAAGAAAGAGAAAGTTGAGGCGGGGCATTAGTGGGATCCTGGTTCTGCAGATCCGCCATCACCCTCTCTCCCTCAGGAATGCAAGACTTTAACTATCTCCACACCAACTGTTTTGAAATCACTCTGGAACTGAGCTGTGACAAGTTTCCCCGCCAAGAGGAATTACAGCGCGAGTGGCTGGGTAATCGGGAAGCCCTAATCCAATTCTTGGAACAGGTAAAATCCCATTCTTTAACTTTCCTGGTTACAGAAAGAGACGTGTTTTCTGATGGCAGGCAAGGGTTTTTGTGAGGCTCAGTTCTGACCTCTGCTTTGATTCCATACAGGACATCTGGGCTGCTTCCACAGAGCCCATTTATTCACTCAACATTATTGAGCACAATTATCCATCAGAAACAGTACTATATGCTGAGGATTATGGGCAAACAAATATCCCTGCCCACATATAGCTTATATTTTAGTTAGGAGAGACCGACAATAAACAAAATAATAAAGTACATTTTATAACATGGTAGATGCAAAATGCAGTGAAGAAGGCCTTACAGAGAAAATGAATTGAAACAGACACAAAGGAGGTGAGGGAGAGGGTCATACAGCTGTCTAGGGGAGAAGGGACTCCCTGGTGAGGCACATCAGGAAGTGCTAGGCCCCCAGCAAGCAGCTGTTAGGGAAATGCAAATCAATTACACAATAAGATACCTCTTCACACTCACTAGGGTGGCTTCTATACAGTAAAAGACAGACAGTAGCAAGCATTGGTAATGATGTGGAGAATTGGAACTATGAAGAACAGTATGTGGTTCCTCAAAAATTACAAATAGAATAGCTTCCATGATCCAACAATCCCAGCTCTGGACATATATCCAAAAGAACTGAAAGCAGGATCTCAAAGAGATAGTTGCACACCTTTGTTAATATCAGCATTATTCACAACAGCTAAAGGGTAACAGCAACCCAGGTTGCAGCCCAAGTATCCATTGATGGATGAATGGATCAATGAAATATGGTAGGGACATAAAATGGAATATTCTTCAGCCTTAAAAAAGAAGGGAATTCTGAGACATGCCACAACATGAATGAACTCTGAGGACATCAGGCAAAGCGAAATAAGCCAGTCACAAGAAGACAACTATTGTATAATTTTACTTACATGAGGTGTCAAGAGGAGTCAAATCCATAGAGACGGCGAGTAGACTTGTGTTGTGATTTGCCTTAGATTTTCACAGGGGTCACTTTGACTGCTCGGTTGAGAAGAGATTGTCGGGAACAGGAAGTCAGAGAGACCAGTTAATGAAGGGGCTGTTACCATAATCTTTGTGAAGATCAAATGCAAAACTGTATGAGAAAGGGCTTTGAGGACTCCCCAACACTGGACACCTGTTTTATGGTCCTAACTGTGCACTGTACACGTTCCTACAGGTACACCAGGGCATCAAGGGAATGGTGCTTGATGAGAATTATAATAACCTTGCGGAGGCTGTCATTTCTGTTCACGGAATTAACCATGATGTCACTTCGGGTAGGTGGCCACTGCTTGGTGGAGTGTGAGAGAAGCCTTCACGTCCTCACCTTTTTTCAGCATGATCAGGAGGCCAATTTGTAAGCCAGCGAGACTAGCAGGGGTGTCAAGGACCCATGGGGACAGGAGGAAGAAAAGATGATAGAAATGGTGACAGGGGCACCTGGGTGGCTCAGTCAGTTAAGCATTGGCTCTTGATTTCAGTTCAGGTCATGATCTCAGAGTTCGTGGGTTTGAGCCCTGCTGTCAGCACAGAGCCTGCTTGGGATTCTGTGTCCCTCTTGCGCTGCCCCTCCCCTGCTTGCTCTCCTTCTCTCTTGCAAAATAAATAAAAAGAAAACTAAAAAAAAAAGAAAAAGAAACGGGGACAGGGAACTAAGAGGCCCAGATAAGGAAGATGTAATTTCTGTCCCACCATTCAGGAGTCACTGCTTCATACACGTTAGAGGTGTTTTCTGGGTTTGAGGTTGATAGCTCATGTGCTAGTGTGAAATGGGGTCTCAAAAAAAAGGACTATCAAACTGATGTTTAGTCTTGTTCCTGAGCCAGGCATTTCACTTCACTTCCATCCCGGGAAAAGTTAGTGAGATGCATTCTATGGCCTTGCTGCAGGGGGACAGTGATGGCAGAGGCAGATCTTCTTGGAACCAACCTGGAACCTCAGAAATGGTGCAGAATATCTCATGGCCACGTGTTGTAAATTGCTCCTGGCCAAAAGTGATCACGCACAACTCTTAGGTCTTTCTGTCTGTCTGTCTGTCTGTCTGTCTTCCTTTCTTTTCCTTCCTTCCTTCCTTCCTTCCTTCCTTCCTTCTTTCTTTCTTTCTTTCTTTCTTTCTTTCTTTCTTTCTTTCTTCCTTCCTTCCTTCCTTCCTTCCTTCCTTCCTTCCTTCCTTCCTTCCTTCCTTTTCTTTCTTTCTTTCCTCTTCTTTCTTTCTTTCTTTCTTTCTTTCTTTCTTTCTTTCTTTCTTTCCTTTCCTTCTCTCTCTCTCTCTTCTTTCTGTCCCTCTTTTCTGCCTTCCTTCCTTCCTTCCTTCCTTCCTTCCTTCCTTCCTTCCTTCCTTCCTGTGTTTGTTTTGGTTATAAGGTAGAACAGTAGCTACCAATGATCAGGGATGGGTAAAATTTGCCTACCTCCCACAACCTCGATACGAGCAAGGCCATATTTTACCACACCAACACTTATGACCACGCAGGCATCCTAGAGTTCAGACTTTCATTCTATTTAAACTGGATGAAATCTCAACTTAAAGGAGATAACTAGTGTTAGTGAAGGCGATCTCAACATATCTTATATGAAAGGTTCATTCAAGGCAAAAGTAGGATTCTAAAGGCAAGATTCTGTAGCCTCATAGTCAAGCATTAGACAACCAGAACCCTCATACCAGTGGCTGGACCCGAGTTTAGGGATCAAACCTTGGGCATCCTTCAGAACTTCAGGGCTTGCTAGATTTTCATACCCTATTCATGCACAGACAGGGAAAGTCTCTGAAACGTTCCAGCCAATCACCACATATTGAATACTACTAATTCCACCAATAAGAGCCCACTTCCAACACTCACTATGCTAAATTAACAAATTACTCATATCACCACTGAAAATACTCATTGCCAACATTCATTATGCTGCTTATAAAAGCATCTAGTATTGATTACAGAGAAAGATAGCTGAAGCCCTTGTCATAGCTGTGTCTGGAATTGGGCCTTTCTGATACAATGCTAGCTAACAATTCCTGGGTGTAAGCTCCCAGTTAAGAAAATGACAGCCCTTGGGGTGTAACTTACACTATTCAACATATGCTTTATAACTCACTGCTTTTGCTAAGTATTTAAAAAAAAATTACAGGCATTGAATAGGGGAGCAGACAAGATACTTCCTTATTATTTATTGTATGTCTCATTCTTTTTTAAACTTATTTTTTATTTTATTTAATTTTTGAGAGAGAGATGGGGGGAGAGGCAGAGAAAGAGGGAGAATCTTAAGCAGCCCAGCATGGAGCCCAGTGTGGGGATCAAACTCATGATCATGACCTGAGCAGAAATCAAGAGTTGGAAGCTTAACTGACTGAGCCACCCAGGTGCCTCTGTCTCATTCTTAATTGCATTTATTATTTCAGTTGTGCCTTGCTGTACGCTTAAAAGAAATGTTAAAGGCATGGTCACAATTGATTCTAAAAAGATACACAGTCATTAGCCAAAATGCTATATCCCTGCCATAGAAAAATAGGCTTTCTTTTGAATTTTATTTTCCCCTTTAGAAGGTGATGGAAGAAATATTAAAAATAGGATTCTCAAAATCAGACTTACAGTGGTCATTTAGTCTAGCCCTCTGACTCAGTATAAGATTACACACATACAACACCACTGACAGCTGTTTTTCTAACCCAGGGCTATCCTGTGCATTAGTGCAAGACCATGTCCATCAGTGCAGGTTGTGCACTGCACAACTGTGTAGGTTTTCCAGGGACACTCAGTCTCTGTTTAAGTGCTCCCAATTTCATAAAGCAGTCCATTTCTTTTTGTCACAGCTGTTTTGCTGCTTTCTAGCAAAATCTTCCTCCTATAATTTAAACTCATAGTTCTTGGGGCGCCTGGGTGGCTCAGTTGGTTAAGCGTCTGACTTCAGCTCAGGTCATGATCACATGGTTCGTGCTGACGGCTAGCTCAGAACCTGCTTCAGATTCTGTATCTTCCCCTCTGTCTGACCCTCCCCTGCTCGCACGCTCTCTCTCTCTCTCTCTCAGAAATAAATTAAAAACATTAAAAAAATTTAAACTCATAGTTCTCATTTTAATTTTTTTAGGTATTTTTTTCTTTACAGTGGCTTTTCAAACATTGAAACAGAAGTCTCATGTAGTTTCTTTACCACCCAAAATAATCATAGATCTTTCAGCCTTTCTCCTAGTGACCCTTTACTGGACATGAGTTTGTTTTAAAAATATAGAGTCTAGAATTAAACACAATACTCTCAGTACAGAGTACATTGAAACTTCTACTTCCCGTGAACTGAGGAGCCCATGCTCTTATTACATAAAATAGCCTAAGATTCTTTTAGATCTTAGCCAGTTTCATCATGCTATTAAAAAAAAATCAAGCTTGTGGTCAGCTACAACCCTCAGATCATTTGTCTTATCAAGGCCCCAAAGGGCAGATTTCTAATCCGCAGAGTTCTATTCTTGTAACTTTTAGGTGACCATGGTGATTACTTCCGGCTGCTGCTTCCAGGTACCTACACTGTCACCGCCACAGCACCTGGGTTCGACCCAGAGACATTGACCGTGACCGTGGGTCCTGGGGAACCAAAACTGGTGAGTTAGGCTGATGTTCGCAGAGCTCCGTAAAGATCACTTACACAAAGTCACAAACAACCTATCACATGGTTCTAATCTCTGCCAAGCTTCCCTCTTCCACTTAAAAAAAAAATCCATTGCTCTCATATGCTTTTTTTTTCTTCTGTCATTTCTCCTATTATGTCTTTCCCCACTTCCTTTTGGCTTCTTCTCTTTCTTCTGTTTCACATAGCACAGTGATGAAAAGCACTATCTTCATCTAAAAAGCACTATCTTCTTCTGTCCACAGACCTTGGACAAGTGACCTAATCATTCTTGCTCAGTTTCTTCCTCTGTAAGTTGGTGCAAATAGTACCTGCTTTGTAAGAGGTTGGAATGAGAAAGCTCACGTAAAGCATTTAGTACAGTGACTTCCACATAGAAAGTGCTCAACAAATGCTCGTTTATAATCCTGGAGACCTTGCCCATATGGACTCCCTTGGGTTGCCTGCTCTGTGCCATCAGCTGGGACTACCACCAGATGGCACTCTGCCCCCTCCTGGTGCCCGTGTGCCAGACAGTCTTGCTTTCCTCTCGCCTTGGCAAAAGAGCGAGCTCCTCTCTGGTATTCAGCTGGCCACAGCTGTCTTTTATAGGTAAGACAAGAAGCAAGGAACGTTTTTGACCTACCGCCTGGACCTTTTCAGCTTTGGTCATAAATAGATTAGGATCCCAGAGCTGAAGAAGCTTAGAGGTCATGGACACTAGTCCTCAGATTTCTCTAATGAGGAAGAGGTAATGAAGCAGGTCTACTTAATGAGCACCTACAGACCTTGTTCCCTCACAAGTCTGCTCTTCTCTAGGGCCTCCTCGCTCTGTCTAGTTCCTTCTGGGTACCACCCTAGACCCCAGCAGACCCTCAAACCCCTTTCTCTGTTGACTCTGTGGTTAAGTTGCTTGCTGTCCTCAATACAATTATAGGTGCTATTTACTGAATGGTTCCTATGTATGAGACACTATATGAGAGCTTTCCTGAACTATCTCATTTAACCTTAGCAACCCTGTCAGGGACACGTAAGTCTTCCTGTAATTTATGGCCAAGGAAAATGAAACTTTGAGAAGAAATGTGCCCAATGTCACCCAGTGAGTGAGTGGAGCTCCCGTCGGCACCTCTCTTGGGCTTTCAGGGCTGCCCTCTTAGTGTGCTGCGAGACATCATGCTAAATCACAGCCTGTGTGCATAACCCAGGTTTTAACACAAGGATCCAGGTTCTTTACATCCTCTGAAAAGTCCTCTGAAGTTTCTAGATAGTTCCCCCTTTCCCCTCTCGGCCCGCTAGTCCTAGCTCCTGCATGTTATAAACCACCTCCACTTGCAGATCGGCAGCTCCCACGGCAGCCTGTTGCCTGGCCCCAGTTTCCCAGCCAGCATTCTTCCCCCCCACCCCCACCTCTGGCCTTTTTCTTGTTCTTCCCCAAAGTCAAATGGTTGGTTGATAGGCAGCCGCAGGCGGAAGCCCTGGGTGACAAGCCCTCTTCAATGCCAGGTGCAAACGACTGCAAAGCCTCTTAAGTAATACACTCTACCTCAAAAGAGGTCACTTCCTTTGTGATACAGCCTTTCAGTAAATTAACATAGCCCATCATTGTGTCACATATAAACCAGAAGGGAAAAAAGTTGTCTTTGGGACATGATTCCCAAATGGAAAAACAACTAAAAACTGTTTGCTGATCACTGTAGAGCCTCTCCCTCTTTCCATTTTTCTAAACGGAGATCCATCTGGCCAAGGGAAGAAAAAAGAAAAAAGAGGATTTACTGGAGGGTTTTCACGTTACAGTGAAGACTGTTCACTTATCTCCCACAGTCCTGTGTCCTCTTTGCTTCCCCACAGCCTGCCAGAGGTCAGCTCCTTCCCTCGCCTGCCCTTCCCTTATTTTACTGCCCCCCCCCCCACTGTCTGTCTCTGTCTCTCTGTCTGTCTCTCTTTTTCCTAGATCTCTAAATTAGTATATATGAAATGGTAATGATGTAATTAGCTCTGATTTCCTCTACTTTGTGGAACTGGCAGAATCGCTGGCTGTAGGTTTGCGTGGAAGGGGCGGAAAATGACCCCGTGGAGAGCTTGCGTGCATGTTTTCAACTCCCAGCTGGCCTCAGCGGCCCAGACTGTTCCAAGGCCTGGAAGCCAAGGATCCCTCAGGGGAGTGTGGTTAGAACACTGTGCCACTCCCGCCTCCTGGGAAGGTTCCACAGCCTGCAGACCCACAATGTCAGTCTGAGGCGGCTTCACAGCTGAGGCCCTGGCCAGAGGGTCGTGCCGGACAGGACGCATTCACTGCACACGGAAGTGTGGAATTTAAGAATTCATATGAATCATCTATCATTCCCACGATCTGTATTTTCAAGCAGTTAGGCAGCAGGTTCAGATCCGAAGACGTGAGGTCTTCCCTGGCGTGCCCGAGCACAGCGCCGGTGATTCACCCCACGGCATGAAGGGGATCAGTACGGGACCGTCCATCATAGCTCTTGTCCTGAGCAACAGTATCAGCGAAATTGTGGTTTGAGGTGTACATGTCATTTTCTTCTAATAATTAAGTTCATCCAGGTACACCCCGTGTTATTGCCAGTGACTCTTCCTCCTCTTGGCAACATCAGGCAAGCCAGACACCTTGGTGCTGCCATGGCGTGGCTCGCTGCTGTGCCAGCGCTGCTTCGTGCCCCACCCTCAGGATCTGGGGGTGTGGGAGAACCAGGTCCAGACAGGTTCTTCCCCAGTTCCAGTTCCAGGAAACAGAAAACCGGCCCCTCTCCCCACCTAGCTGCGTCTCTCTTTCTTCCAGGTGAACTTCCATCTCAAGAGAAGCATCCCTCAGGCAGCCCCTACGAGGAGAGTTCCCAGCCCAGGGCACGGAGGCAGAGTCTTACCAAAGAAAGCGCAGCCCTGGGTCAGCTAGGACCCGGGATCCGGAGGTGAAGTGGCCCCAGAGAGTCCCTGCCTGAAAGCCACAGCGCTGGGGCGACTGTTAGAAAGGCTTGTTCCTGCCCTCCCATCAGATGAAGCATGCTTTCTATTTTATTATCTGGGACATATTTAAATATAAACATGTTCACGACAAGCCCGAATGGTCTCTGTTCCCGGGTTCAGCCCTCTGATGCAGGAGTGCACACAGTCAGCGGGACTCAGTAAGCTTTCCCGATTCTGGGGCTATGGTGTGGGTCCAGAAGGCTCCATGCTGGTCCGCGCTACATCGGGAGACTGGCTCAGGCTGACTGGCCGCTCTGCCTCCGGAGTCTAGCACCAAGCCTACAACATAGCAGGTGCTCAAGGGAGACCTCTGAATGAATGGCTGAAGGGCTGAAATGATTCGCCACTGATGTTGTTCCCGTAGCAAGACCAGGGGACCAACTCTTCTGAAATCCGAGAGGGCCGTTTCAACACTAGCCAATAGTTTCTTTCTTTCTTTGTTTTTATATATTTTTTTATTTTTAATTTATTTCTGAGAGAGAGAGAGAGACAGTGTGAGCAGGGGAGGGTCAGAGAGAGAGGGAGATNGTTGGGTTGATGCACAATAACATGTGTATACTAGAATATGTTCCAGAAAGAACTGTGATTGCCATAGACTTCTCAGAAACTCACTCTAGACACTCCTTGTGTTCTGAAAAGCCACTTTGGGGTCTACAACTGATTTCTCTCTCTTTTTTTTTTTTAATATTTTATTTATTTTTGAGAGAGAGATAGAGACAGCATGAGCAGGGGAGGATCAGAGAGAGAGGAAGGCACAGAATCTGAAACAGGCTCCAGGCTCTGAGCTAGCTGTCAGCACAGAGCCCAATGTGGGGCTCGAACCCACGAACTGTGAGATCATGACCTGAGCCAAAGTCGGACACTTAACCGACTGAGCCACCCAGGTGCCCAGCCAATAGTTTCTTAATTAAGAAAAGGATTTCAAATACCTAGTCCCACTGCTACTCACTTTTGTATGTGGCCATTTTACACAGCATGCATCTTTCAGAACATTCTGTGGGTTTGTAAATATACCATAGATGCCTCTATGGAATGGCTCTGTCCTGACCCCGTTCCAGCGGTACCCAGCACTATCCACCTCATTGAGTTCCCCAGATCCCATTTGTGCTAAAAGTGTTATTGAGGAAGAAGATGTTAGTAAAGGTTTGGAAGAGATGTGTAGTTCCAGCCACACAAGTTCATAAACTCCCGCTAGGCATGTTGGGGTTCCGGGTCCCCTGTGCCTGGGGCTTGGTGAGGGTTCTTCCCCATGCACCTGCTCCAGAGCCCAGCCTCTGGGCAGCCTCTGTTTCCTACACTTGTTCCGTTTCCCCTCTCCCTTTCAAGCTTCCCCCACCCCGGCCTCTAACTAACCAACCAACTAATACTGAGTGATTCAGCGCCTCTCAACAAGCCCTCCCACAGCCAGTAGAAAACGAGAGATGCTCTAGCTGGGACAGCTCACCCTCTTCAGGAGGCCCGTCAAGACTGGGATCCACACATGATTTATTTTCCTGTTACTTTAGTAATCTCTCAATCTGTGGTCAAAAGGAAAACAGAAGAAAATGTATCTTTTCCCATTTAGAAAGGGAATTCTTGGGGCACCTGGGTGGCTCAGTTGGTTGAGCATCTGACTCTTGATCTCAGCTCAGGTCATGATCTCAGGTTCGTGAGATCGAGCCCCACATCAGGCTCTGCACTGACAATGTGGAGCCTGCTTGGGATTCTCTCTCTCTCTCTCTCTCTCTCTCTCTCTCTCCCCCTCTCCTCCCCTCCCACCCCCCGCTCTCTCTCTCTCTCTCTCAAAAAAGTGTTAAGAAAATAAAAATAAAAAGGGAATTCTCTCCTCAGGTGATTAATCCTTTATCCACATTTTTCCTTTCTTCCCAATTTGAATTCCATATTCCTTGGTCCTCTTTTTGTTTTTATAAAACAGGAGCTTCTTGAGAGGCTTTTTTCAGTTCAGTGGAATTTCATTCCTGAGGTTAGGTTGCCATATGCACTCAATTTCTCCAGATTGTCTGAATATCACTTGCTTTGTTTTCAGGTTACCTGGTACATAGTCACTTAACAGAGCTTATGTTTGTAAAGTATGATCACAGTGTGTTCCCTGACACAGCCACATCCTTTCATTCATCCATGCATTATTCATTCATTCATTCATTCATTCATTCATTCAAGGGACATTTGTTGAATCCTTGGTCAATGCAGAGAATACAAAAACAAACAAACAAACAACAAGCTAAAGCATGTGACCCTGGGCAGCTACGGTCTAGTTGGGAAGACTAAATAGGTCATTACACTGTACTGTGGCAGTTGCTGTGAGTCCATAAATGGAGGGTGAGGGATAGAGAGCTTGTGGGAAGGTCCCTCCTATGGTCTTGGGAATATCAGGCAGGAAAGGCATCCCAGAGCTAGCAAAGTCTAAGGTGAGATGAAATAAGGTCAGATAAAGAGGCACTGGCCGGGTGGAAAGAAATGGGGGAGCAAGTGAGGTGGCAGGGCGGGGGACTGAGTGAGGGGCCAAAAGCCGAGGCCAGTGGGGTGGGGAGGGAAGGGACGAATCATGAAGGACCTTTGAACCATATCACAGAGTTTGAACTTTATCCTGAGAGGAGCAAGGAGCCAGTGAAGGGTTCTGCTCAGGGAGTGGCAGGATCAGATCTAGAACGATCACCCCGGCTGCAGCCTAAAGAGCTGGCGGGAGCAGGAGCAGGACTGAGTCAGTGAGGAGGCAGCCTGAACTGGGCCAGGGCAACGTGATGAGGACACAAATCAGCTGATTTTAGGTTAATCAAAAGGGAGATTATCTGGGGTGGGCCTGACCTAATCAGATGAGCCCTTTACAAACAGATAGTTTCTCCAGCTGCCCTCAGAGGAAGAAAGCAGACAAGTAGGTTGTGAGCTGCCTGTGGGAAGGAGCATCCCCTAGAAGCTGAGAATGCTCCCAGCCAACAGCTAGCAAGAAGAGGGAACCATAGTCCTACACCACAAGGAAATGAATCATGCCAACAATCTGAATGCACTTGGGCCAACATCTGAGCGCAGCCTTGTGAGACCGGCGCAGAGGATCCAGTCAAACCATGCCCAGACTCCTGACTATAGAAACTACGAGGTAACACATTCACGCTGTTTTAAGTCTCTAATTTGTGCTGATTTTTTATGCAGTAATAGTAAGATAATATATAAGCTATTTCAATTTTTTTTTCCTGTAAATTGGGTTGGATATACATAGATAAAACATAGACAACCAAATGTAACTGCCATACTGAGAGGTAGAGCTGTTGTGCTCCCACCTCAAGTGAATGTACGTAAAACAAGCACAGGAAAAAACCAAAAACATGTAACTCTTTTAAAATAAGAGAGCTGGTGTAGTCAACTTTACCCAGGAAATGACTGTGACAACATTTTCTCTTTCTAAAGGGATGTCTGTGAAAGTGGAGACTTGGCCTTGAGATAACTGTAGTGTCTTGTCTCTAATAGTTCCCATTATTTGTACAAAATTGCTTGTTACTAGATTGTGAAAACGTACCCTTGGCACAAAAATTAAATTTTTAAAAATGTTTTTTATTTATTTCTGAGAGAGAGAGAGAGAGAGAGAGACAGCGTGAGCAGGGGAAGGTCAGAGAGAGAGGGAGACACAGAATCTGAAGCAGGCTCCAGGCTCTGAGCTGTCAGCACAGAGACTGACGTGGGGCTCGAACCCACAAACTATGAGATCATGACCTGAGCTGAAGTCTGCCACTCAACCGACTGAGCCACCCAGGCTCCCCACCTTGGCACAAAAATTAAAAGGAGAAAATGTAAAGGGTGTCCAGAGACTTTATAGACAGAATTGTTCTTCAAATGAGGGCTCTTCTCCCTTTCCCAAAGGGTCAAAAATCATCATACAATGTGCAACATCCCAAGCTCTTCCATTCCACCTTCAGGACACTGAAGGAAAAGCCAGAGCGGGAGCCTTCTTCAATAGCCAAACAGTTTTCCATGGTTTGAAATCTTATTCTAAAATAATAAGATCCCAATACCATAGTGTCAACTTTTTATCTGTTAAAGGTCCAGGATGTGAATTCACAGCAGTTAATTTGGTCATCTGACAAATGGTGAATCCCATTTATGAACCAGACCCTGGGTTCAGAGCGGAGGAGAGAGTGGGTAGGCCAGAGAGACACAGTTCCTCCTATCTTTTGGAGTTAGAGGGATGTGGAGGAAGAGACAAAGAACAAAAAACACATACAAAGAAGGTACTGAGAGAGGAAATGCCAAGAGGATCTGTTTGAGATAAGGTGGTTAGGAAGATTTCTTTGAAGAGGTGATTTTTTGAGCTGAGGCATAAAGGATAAGACAAAGGAATAAAAGTTTCAGGCAGAAGGAAGAAGAAGCCCAAGGCCCGTGTGTGTGTGTGTGTGTGTGTGTGTGTGTGTGTGTGTGTGTGTGTGTTTAGCTTCTGGCTCTATGATATAACATGCTAGAAGCCTAATCCAGCAGAGGTCCAAGACACAGCACAGCATCCAAACCACACCGAGTCTAGTCATAAGGGAACCAATAAGATTCACTTTTTCCATGGCTGCAGGAAACACCCCAACCCGACCAGCCATCTCGAAAACAAGGATCAAGAAAGTAGGACAGCATGGCTTGGGATAAATCTGACATCAGATATCAAAGTCCATGTGTCCAGAGCATTATGTGCACATACATGGTCCTATGATTTGTCTAAGATGCACATTCCCAGCACATGCCCCGCACGCCATTCCATCATGCCCACCTCCTGCCTGGAATATGACTTCATTTCTGCTTGAACACTAAGCTCATTCTGACTATTAAACCATGAGTAAACATTCCCCCTGGGCAAATGCCTAAGCAAACATCAATTCTCTCCCTCCTCCCAAAAGTTAAATTCCACTATTTATAAAGGCTTTTCCCCCCTCTTTTTCTTATTCCTCCCCTCACTGAATGTCTCGCCCCACTCCCCTTCCCCTCATGGATCTTTCCCTCTGCTACGTTCAAGCTCTTCACTTCTTGCCATTCCCTGAACCCCTCCACCCTCACGCCCCCATCACTCAGAAGCAGGGGACCTGGAGCCATTACGGGATAGG